AAATGTAATTGTTGCCGTCAAAGTTAATAATGTTCATTAAAAGCAGAGACAGAGACAGGGAGAGAAAGAGTGACTTGGCTTAAACTTGAGTTATTCTTCGACTTTTTGCTTTATCTGTTGCCTTTTTTTGTTTTGTTCAAGTTTTTGTTTCAAGTTTTTTTTCCGTTTAAGCCCGCCTTGACTTTCGACTTTTGTCGCGTCTTGACATCTCCTCTTATTAACTATGTAATTTCCCCCTTTGTTTTATTGCACTGCACACACTAAATTATTGTTTTTATTATTACTCATTTGTTGAGCTCTCAGTTAAAGTGCGGAAAAAATTCAAGAACACGGGGAGAAATGTGTGCCACAAGTTCAAATTTATTAAGTTATTATATATAGAGAAAATGTAATCGAAATCGGTATGTTTTGTGGCATCCCAAAATACCTGAGATAAGGATATATGTAGAATCGGAATCACTCTCGAAACTTTCCGCTAAAGCACTAGACTAATTGAGTTTGTTGTTATCGGGTAATTTGTTACTTTCGATTATATTCCTATCAGTCAACCGAGGGATTCATTGAAGTGGAGTGGAGAGAGTTCTAAAGCAATAATTTGTCAACTATTTTGTACAAGTAATATATTTTGTAAGCAAATTTATTGCCAAGGAAGAGTTTATCTGCTACTTTATTTATTATTTTAAAAATAATGGAATGTCTGCCTTGACAAACACTTACTTAGCTAAGCATTTTTCCCAGACTTCCCAGAGTTCCTTCTCCTTAGGGGAGCAGCTTTGTATAAATCTGAAATTTTTGCTGACACACAATTCCTCGAATCCCCATCGCAGACCGTGTTTGTTGCAGTTGAAAACCAAATACCAGGCCGATAAGCTTCAAGTGTTACGACTTCGTAATACCCAATCCCCCGGAATCGCATTACATAGGTCCTAGAACAGATCTGGAACTTGGAAATGGCTGGCATTGGATTCAACATTCAATAAAGGGACAGCCATTCGTTGAATGTTTATTATAAACAAAATACTAAATTCCATCATCGGGTTGGGTTTGCTTTGGGTTGGGTCTGGGTCTGGGTTTGGGTTTGGGTTTGGCTTGGCGGATATCTTTGCGGCATGATAGCGATAAGATAAGAATTCCAGAAACCAGAGAACAGAGTCAAAGACGTCAGTGGGGTAATATGACTAAAGCACAAGCGATTCCAATTAATATTGATCGAACCCGGACTCCACGCATTTGTTTATACTTCCCGATAATTGCATACTTTCCGCTTACGCCAGATATATAGCTGATATATATATATTATTGTATATATCATATGTACATATTTGCCAGCCTGACAACACACAACTTGAACTTGGCTTCTTTATAGTTGAAACTGCCATATAAATTTATATTTATATATATTTTGACTTTAAGGAGTTGCTAGGAAAGTGCTTAGCGACTTGCTATGAGAATATTGATTTTAAAAATATAATTAGAAAGAGTTGTTAAATTTCTTGAGCCTTATGAGTATATTTTTAAAGCAAGGATATGGTCTAGATCTATATTATCGTAAAAGTAAAGCATTATGGAGTCTTTTGGATTTAGATATATTACTTAAAGGTTTATGGATCATGGACTAAAGATATATTATTTTTTATGGGTTATTCTACGAATTAGGAATTCTACAAATCTAGTTTTATGTTTTATTTAAGTATTTTAAGTCTGAAAGTTATATACCAGTTTTATTACCAGTGACACATTGTTCTTTCCATTTCTAAACCTAATAATAGGATATATTACGTATACGCAGGGTGAAACATTACATGAGGCTTCGAGCTTTAGATAACATTACTGAACTCCTACAAGTTAATGGAACTTGAGCTAAATATTTAATCTATTTATTAGTTATTCTACGAACTAGAAATTCCCCAAATAGAGTCCAAATTTGTATCTATGTTTATCAGTTGACAAAATGCTATGTTACCGCTTTTATTACCAGTGACACATTTTCTTTGCTATTCGATGGAAGTTTGCCAACTTCCGGTTGCTAGGCAACTTTTCCACACCCCCTCCTCAAAAATCTTTCCAAAAAAACCCCCCTTTACCCATGACAACCTGTTGCCTTAACCCTAATGCCAACATTACCATTTCATTTTTATCTTATCGCGTCTGGAATTTTTGGTTCTCTCGCTATGTTCCCTTATGACCTGGAATATATATAAAATATATAAAGTGTGTATATGTATATAAGATATCATCGGCGGTGACGCCAAATTGATCGATGTGTCCATAGTTGGGAGTCGCGACTCTGACAGAGTGAATAATATATTACCAATATTTGTTTACGAAACACAAGTGTTTTTCCTCAGTTTCTTTTTTTCACACCCATAACTATATGGCAGACATGGCTCCATGGCAAGTGGTTCTTCGGTTTCCAGTCTTTAGGTATCCATTCTCCGCAAGCCGCTAATGGTTGATAACCCAGTTTGCACAAGTGTCTTTTTGGATTTTCTGTTTCCCTTGGATACTTGGATACCCTAACCCAACCGAACCGAACCAAACCAAACCGAGAGGGTATAATTACACACTCATGAACTGATCCAAACTAAACTGAACTGAAGTCGGAATGCCGGCCGAACAAACAAATAAAACAAAACGAAGAATCGGTTGCTATATAGCATATATTTATATATATGTATATAGTTTGAAAACGTCTTGGGTTAGGAGTGTGGGAATGATATTTACCGATGGTTTCTTGATTTAAAGGAAAGGATTTTCGAAAGAGGTTTTATTATTCCAAGTATTTCAAGGATTGCATTAAGAACTATACTAGATATTTCAGGGATTTAGAAATGTAAACCTTATAGCTAAAAAGAAGTATGCAATTCTCTTTTAGAGTCTTTAAAATAAAATCTATTTTCATTAAAGACATAATTTTTATACAATAGAAAGTTATTATTACAACATTTTCAATATAGTTTGCATACAATAGATCAGATCACATTCCTCTTTAGACTCTATATTTAAAGTTATTAGCAAATGAACTTTAACGTAATTAATTTGCAATATTTCGCTTATAATTATTAATTTATTTAAATTAATAATAATTTATTCAAGTTGCAAAGTACAGCTTTTTTTGTGAACTCCTCCATGCCATGAATCATGGCCATAAAGTCAAAGTGTGTGTATGTGTATTGGCATGTGGTTTGAGCTAATTTTAATTACCTGCCAGGTTTTTTACTTCTTCTTCTTCTTAAAAAATATATATGCATTTTATTTTAATTTTATTATTTTTTCAAATATTTATTTCTTTACTCGTTTTTATGCCGGTTTTTTGTGTGCTATTTTACGGCCTCGGCCATTTTGTTGGCGCCCGCTAAGCGTCTCGTCATGGGTTTTATGGGGATTTCGTTTGCCATTACTTGGGGACCTTATCGCCATGACTGGCAGCGTCTGCGTCAGCGTCGGCATCGCTGTCAACGTCAGCGGCAGCGTCAGCAGAGGCCGCCATCTTTGCTCAACTCATCCATAAACTCATTAACGCGCGCATGTCTCACGCGCCGCCACCGCCATCGCCATCGCCATCCATATCACCTCTGCCGCCGGCAATTCCACCTGTTGTGGTCCCAACCCAGAGCTCCAACCTCCTCCTGCCCCCCGCTTCGTCCGTCCGGTGTGCCATTAGCGCCTGCCCAATTGACCTGGTTTGTTGATGAGCCCGCTCCCAAAGAGGTGGCGAACTTGCTAGGAGGTGCAGTCTAGGATGAAGTGAGTTCTTAGGTAGAAGAGGAGGATTGTGTGAGTCCAAGAGCATTCCCTGCCTTCTTGGAGGGTCTAACTTGGGTACAGTTGGGCAGAACACAGAGGATTAAGCTCCTAAATAGATAATTCTAAAAGAAAGTCATTGATTTAGGCATCATTATACTTTAATGGTTAAGGATTACGTGAGTTTACTGACATTAGATGGTCATTTATATAAATATAAGGTTATTATTTAGTAAATAATTAAGTATTTGAAAGGAAAATTAAGCTCCTAAATAGATAATTCTAAAAGAAAATCATTGATTTAGGCATCATTATACTTTCATGGTTAAGGATTACGTGAGTTTTCTGACATATATAAAACTAAGGTTATTATTTAGTAAATAATTAAGTATTTGAAAGGAAAATTAAGCTTCTAAATTGATAATTCTAAAAGAAAGTCTTCAATTTAAGCATCCTTACACTTTTATGGTTAAGGATTACGTGAGTTTTCTGACATTAGATGGTCCTTTATATAAAAATAAGGTTATTATTTAGTAAATAATTAAGTATTTGAAGGGAAAATCCTTGCATTTAAGCTTCCTTTTTCTTCAATAATTATATCATTTTTATACCCTTCCAGGGTAGTCAACGGCTTGAAAATAGGAGAAGTATTCATTTCCGACCCTATAAATCATATATATTCTTGATCAGCATCAACAGGCGAATCTTTCTAGGTAGAAAATACAAATTTTCCAAAAATTTCCATTTTTTGAAAAAAGTCAAAGGGGTTACATCATTAAAATTCAAAAAAATCGACAAAAATTAGAATTTTCTAAAATTTTAAACTGAGTATGCAGATTTATTAACCTAATAAAAACTAACACAGGACTGATTTCCAAATAGAAATTAATGCATTTTTGGCTTAGTTATGAGTTTTTTAAATTTAGATTTTGTTGAAAAATTGTTCATATAAAAATATAAATAAATAGCGATTCGATCCTATAATTTAATTCCAAGCTACAAGAATAAATAATAATTTGGTATCCATTCTTGTGTATTTTTAATTTAAAAAGGCTTAAATAATTACAGTGCATTCAATACAACAAAGAAATATTTTTAAAGGTTTACCAAGGTTTAGGGAATATTTAAATAATCTTGTCCATATATACAACCGAAGCTATAGCTCCAATCCCTTCTATAAATTATTATAAACAATATATAATCTAAACTTTTGCTTTATTTCTTCCTTCTCCTTTTTTTTGGCTCTCTCCTCACAGCAAAATGAGGAACAGAATGTGGAGGACAGCTGGTGCTGGGAGCCCGATGGAGGGGACCCAGTCAAGGACAAGAAGGAGGCGCAGGCGGGACTCGTGGACATAGCCCTGGGCGCCAACGATGTGTCCCGACTGAACAATCGCATTGCGGAGCTGGAGCAGCTCAATGCGCAGCTAAATGCCTCGCTGGAGGAGCTGGACTCGCAGCACGAGCTGGCCATGCAGGGCGTCCTCGAGCACAAGACGCAGCTGGCTGGCCAGGTGGCTAATCTCAAGCAGATGCAGGCGGACCGCATGGTGGAGCATGAGTTGGCCACCGCCCGCCAGCAGAAGCAGCTGGAGGAACTGCAGCGCGGAGCCAAGGCTGCCCAGGAGGGGCAGGAGCAGCTGCAGCAGCGCGTGGAACAGCAGGCGGCGGAGCTGAAGCGTGGCGTGATGGAGCTGGCCGAGATGCAGGAGCTGCTGGAGAAGCGTAGCCAGGACAGCACCGAGCTAATCGATCGTGTGCGCCTCGCAGAGGCGGAGCGCGAGAAGCTGGTCAAGGAGCTCGAGGAGTGTCGTTTGGCCAAGGAAAAGAAGACATCGGAGTCCTCGTCGAACAGTTCGTCGACGGGCAAGCACAGCGAGGATGAGTTCATAGTGGTGCGGCAGGCGGACGCCGCTTCCGCCTCTGGCTCTGATCCTGATCCCGATCCCGATCTGGAGGTCACATCGCCGCCCTCCAAGGAGAAACTACGCGACCGGCTCGTCTCCCTGGAATCCCAGATAGCGGTTCTCACCCTGGACAACCAGCAGCTGCAGGACAGCCAGCTGGAGAAGCAGCTGAGCGTCAATTTGCTGGGTGATCAGCTCGCCGAGCTGGAGAAGCGGCTGCGCCTAAGCGAGGCGGAGAAGGAGCAGCTCCAGCTGGACCTGCAGCTTCGATTGCAGCAGCTGACGGTGCAGAACCAGGAGCTCAAGCTCCATGCCGAGGCCGAGCAGGAGGGTCATGCCCAGGACCTTGAGGAGCAGCTGGGCGCTTTGCGCGAGGAGAACAGACGCCTGCGTCAGGAGCTGGATGCCAGCATAGCTCAGGCCAAGTTCCGCCAGGCCATTGCCGAGGAGAAGCAGGAGATCACCGACCTGGACGAGGCCGATGCCGCCGAGTATGGCCACTATGAGCTGGACAAGCTGCGCGCCTTGCTGCAGGCAGAGATCGAGGATCGGCTGGGCAGCGCCACGTCCCAGCAGAAGCTGGAGCGTGCCTGGAACTCACTCTCCGAGCGCTGGCATCGTCTGGACGTCGTGGAGCAGCGTCTGCTGGAGGTGCAGAACCAGCAGCTGGTCTGCGAGCACGAGAAGAAGACCCTCGAGGCGGACATCTCCCAGTACATCCTGCAGTGCGAGGAGCTGATGAAGAACAACGAGCTGCTGCTCATCGAGCTGGACAAGTTCAAGCGCAACAAGCTAGAGACCATCGAGGAGCACCACGAGGAGACGATCATGCAGCTGGAGGCTCAGCTGGAGGAGGCCCGTCAGCGCCTGGAGGTGGCCCTGGGCTCCCAAAAGGACTTGGAGTCCAAGCTGAAGGCCAAGCGGGAGCAGGACTCTGCCGGAGAGTTCGATTTGCTGGCCAAAGTGGAGCAGAGGGAAGCAGAGAACGTGCAGCTGGTGCAGCAGCTGTCCAGTGCCAAGAAAGAGCTGGCGGAGAAGGTCACACAGCTCGCCGAGAGCCAGAACCAGAGCCAGGAGCAGGACCAGCTCCAGGCAAAGCTCCAGCAGAGCGAGCGGGATCAGGAGGGCCTAAGGCAGAAGCTGGCCTCGATTGCCCAAGAGCTGGAGGAGCGGTCCCAGCAGCTGAGGATCAGCGAAGATCGGCACCTGTCCCAGCTGGAGCAACTCTCAGGGGTCAGCCAACGCTTGGAGGATAAATCCAACCAGCTGAAGGCCAGCGAGGAGCAGCACAAGGCGCAACTGACCAAGATGCAAGCCCAGATGCAGGCGGACCAGGAGCGACTGAGGGAACTCCTACAAGCGCAGGACAAGCTGGAGCAGCAAAAAGAACTCATGGAGGTTGACCAGAACCAACAGCTGAGCAGCATCAAGAAGGAGCTGGCCGAAGCGACGCGCCAACTGGACGAGTGCCAAGAGAAGCTAAGCCAGAAGGAAGTCCAGCTGGCGGAGATGCAACAGGAAATTCAGGAAATTAGCGACGAAAAGACAGGCCTCCAGCAGCAGCTGCTTCAGGCGACCAAGGAGCCCGAATCCCCCGCACTGAGTGCCCAACTTCAAGAGCTTCGTGACCAGCTGCAGGCCAAGGAGCAGGAGCTGCAGCGAACTCAAGCCGAGCTGGCCAAGCAGCAGGAGGTACTGCTGGCCAAGAACGAAGAGCTCCAGCTCAAGGAAGCGCACCTGGTGGCCAAGGAGACGGCAGAGCTGCAAAGCCAGCAGGCCGCCGACCAGAGCCATCAGCAGCTCCAGCAGGCCATCGAGGCCCTGGGCCAGGAGAAGAACGAACTGATCAAGGCCCTGCAACAGAAGCATCTGGAGAACACGCAATACTACGCCGAAATCCAGCGCCTGCAGCCCTGCGAGGCTCAGTTGCAGGACCTGGTCAAGGAGCGCGAGAAGCTGCAGGATCAGATCGCTTTCCTCAAGGAAAAATCCGACATACTCACCACCAACCTGCTGACGGAGCAGACCAACCAGCGCCTGCTCCAGCAACAGCAGGTCGAGTCGCAGGAGCAGCAGGGCAACGCACAGCGAGACCTGGAGCGCCTGCGTGCGCATCTCTTGGAGATCGAGGAGCTGCACACCCAGGAGACGGTGGAGCTGCAGCAAGAGCTGCAGGAATCACGCGCCCGTCAGGCAGTGCTTGAGCAGGAGGCGTCCAAATCCAGCACCGCATACACATCAGCCAGGTAGGTGTCACCTTGGTGTTATTTTAGTGAGGCGCGGGAATAGCGTGGGTGGTGGTGCCTCATTTGTCACACCCACGCCCGGCAATGGGCGACGGGCGATAAGCAATCGAAGCTGGCTAATTGCATTCGCCACGTGCCCTCCCCCTTGGGGCATTCCCCACGCCCTTGGGCTGGTAACCAGACCATGCAAATTACCGGCGACACTTCCGCAAGTGTGCATTGTTATCGCCAGCCGGGAAAATCAATTTCGAATCGCTGGGATATTGCTTTGGAGTCGTGACTCTTTACATAAGTCTTCCTATTGGGTGCTAGTTCTGGCGTTAAAGGAGCTGAAAAGGATTCGCATATGGGTACCTGTTTACTAAACCCTTTTCTTTCTTTATTCCCCTCAGCATCCGGGCGAACCAGCAGGCAGAGACATTGCAGGCCCAGCATGCCCTGCTCCAGCAGCAACGGGATGAGCTGCTGACCAAACTGGGCCAGTATGAGGACCGAGAACTCAAGCAGCAGGCGGCGCTGACCAATCTGCAGTGCGCCCTGGAGCAATTCCAAAATGGTAACTATTACTATTCCGAAAAACGCAAGAAAATAACTAAATCAAATTCCATTTCAGACAAAGACCACGATATTGAGCTGGCCACGCAGCGCATCCGTCGCGAGATGCAGTCTCAGCTGGATCGCCAGGGACAGTTGCAGGCCGAGATGGGTGCACTGCAGCAGCAGCTGGCGGATGCCAACCAGGGACTGAGGGCGGCGGCCCGACTCTCCGATCAGCTGGAGGCTGGCCAGCAAACGATTGCCGTGCTCCGGGACGAAGGTGAGTGTGCGAAAGGAAGCCGATCTAGGGCAGATACACCGACTATTGCTAGCACCACCACTTCATGCTACACTTGTTCACTAACCAATGAAAAACAAAAAGAAAACAAAGCCTGTGTTGAAGCACCTCGGGATTCCCCGGCATGTACTTAACCCCTGGTGTTACGCACCGCATCAGCAACAGCAGCAGCATCAACTCACTCACTGTTCGTTCATTCTCCCTAACGTTCTTAAGAATGAATACGGTTTAACCCACTGAATCACGCAGAGAGAAAGGGGAAAAGCACATCCATTTAATTTTGTTAGAGAATGCCCGAACAGGGCTGGGAGAAAGTGAGAGATTAGCGAAGAACCAGTGTCACCTCCTCACACGATTCTCAAAGGTAAATATCAGCTGGTAATTCTGGGAGCTAAGCGTTAATATGAAACACTCGGAATTTCAGTTGGTATCGACTTTTTTGAATTGCATTTAATCACCAAAAAGAACCAAAAACTAAATAACCAAAACAAAAAAAAAAAACAAACACCACAAAAACGTTTATAAAAAATACCAAATACTTGTTAGAAACGCACCTACAGCACGTGGCAAAAACCAAGATTTAATTAAGAACTGTATTGGCTGTTAACTCCACCTCTCCAACTCACAAAAACCAGGTAATCGATCGACTGACTTGTCCGCTTTTGCATCCGCCACCGCCAGACCGCTTAATAAGTAGAACTATAATGTTATAACCACTTAATGTTGCACCTCTAAACAATCATTGTTAAATGAGCACAAAAACACCACAAAAAGCCACAAGAATATCTATTAAATACCTATTAACTTAGACGCCTCAAATGTATGTTAAATGTTAATTAGAAAATACTTTTTGTGTGATTTGTAGCTTTTGATGATACCTCTTTTATGTTTATTGTAATTGTTTCAGCAAAAAAGGATGCAGAAAGTGTTGGTTTACTATTTATAAATATTTATATATACAAATAATATTTAAATTTCAATTTGTAGTGAACATTTTATGCATTCTCTTGTTTGCTTGCAATATCACACAAGTAGAGCATTTGAAAGCTTTGTTGTATCCTTGTTTGCTTATTAATATTATAGTTTATTTGCCTTTATTGTTGTTATTTCTTGTTGAATTTTAATTTAATTATGATTGCGACATATTATCTATATTGAAACAAGACACGCACACCCACACAGACACGCAGAATAATACCACTCCCCCTATATAAACAATCGTATAAAACCGTATAATCAGTTCGTAAACCGTATCATCCGTTATCCGTAATTCGTAACCCGTAATCCGTAAACAAAAAACAAAGAAAAATTACGAAAAGAAGAACCGTATTGTATCTGCAGCATTGAATAATCTCAATTTGTAAATGTGAGCGGTTTAAGCCATTCGACGCACTCACTTTGCAATTGGAGATTGCTCGAGACTGCGGCATTTGCCACATATTATGTACACACACTCCTCCAACTAGCTTTGTACTATATATACTCTGCATGTCTCTACCTCTATATATATACATATATAAATTATGTATGCCGTATCCTATCTCTGTTCCGAATTTCCGATCTTAAATCCCCTTGAGAATTTCATTCGGGGCACTGTTGTTTCCGTTTCGTTTCGTTTCGTATTTGCCTTTTGAGTTCGTTTTTGATTTTTGATTTGCTGCATTTGCATTTGCATTTGAATCCGAGAGGAGATGCTACCCAATACTGACCACCGCCAGCCACAGTCCAAGATACAGTCACAGTCGCAGTGCCGCCGCCACAGCAGCTCAGATCAGAGCAGATCGCAGGAGCTCAGCGTCTGTACGGTTGAGTATTACATCAGGTACTGGTGTGCCGTAAATCCAACAACCAGTACTTATGTCATACTACGCCGTGCACCGATCGCACTAACCGCATGCCAAGCAAACCAAGCAACCAACCAGCCAACACGCGCGCGCTTCTCCCCCGGATATGTGCATTGATTCCAAACCCAAAGCCCCCAAGACCGACATTAATTAATTATGTTTTAATCTAGTTGAAATACTAATCCTCGTTTGCGTTCTCTCTTTATCTCTCGCTTAGTGGAGAGCCTGAAGGAGGCCAACGGTCGGCTGGAGCAGAGCCTCAGCAGCAGCGAGAACAGCCAGACGGATCGGATCGACAAGAGCCTGATCAAGAGCCTGCTTATTGGGTATGTGGTCAGTGGACATGCCGGCGACAAGCAGCAGGTGCTGCGCATGATCTCCTCCGTGCTGGATTTCAATGCGCAGGAGGCCGACAAGGTGGGGCTCAACAAGCAGCAGAGCAGCTGGCTGGGCGCCATCCTAGGCGGCAGCGGTTCTCCCCCAGCGGCGGGGGCTACAGGTACGAATGGGTTTTCTACTATGAGAAAAAGCCGAACTAATGTCACACTTTTACCTTTTTTCCTTCAGGTTCTGGTCGCGGCAAGGATAACCTGGTGCAGGCCTTTGTGCAGTTCTTAGAACAGGAGTCACAGCCACAAAACCAAGCTGCGTCACGTCCCACATTGCTTAGCATGGCTGCTGGCCAGATGGAGTCAAGCTCTAACGCCGCTGCGCTTCCCCTGCAGACAGCACAAGCACCACACACCGCAGTGGCCGCCAGTCAAGAGGCAGCAGCGGGGATTCCTGCAACGCCGCCATTAGGAGGAAGCGGAGGTTCGCCACAGTCGCTGGCAATGGGCTCCAACGAGTTTGCGCCGTCGCGAAACTCAAGCTCGATATTAAAGGACATCCTCAGCGACTCCTGATTGTTGTAGAATTGCCTGAAACCGGACTCCATCCTCCTCCTTCCGTATTTCGGTCGTGTTATTTTGTGTAATTTTAATATATTTTTTATCTATATAAATATAAATTAACATCCGTGCAATCGACGACCGCTCCCCTCCCCCCACGACATATATCTCGCTATATATCTACCTGATCCTGATCCCCAACTGTACAATGTCCATGTGTATATGTTTCGTGCAACGCTAGCAATCTGTATATATGTAAAATCAGCAATCTTCACAGCGGCCTTTGCTATGTAATGACTAGCCGCCAATAATACTTATTAAATAAAACTAGGAACTCTGTCGTTTATTTTATAGGCTATGATTTTGCCTACACCAACAAAAACCGTAACAAAAACAACCATTTTTAAAACATCAAAAAGCAATCAATTAACCGCAAAATTTGAATTTGAATTTTAAAACACAAGTTCCCGGTTTGGCTCTAAAATAGCTAAAACTAGCTAAATTCCATTTTTCCATTCAAATACAAGTAAGCAGTGCGAACTAGTTCCAAGCAGTGCAAAATAAGTGCAAGCAGTGTGAACTAGTTCCAAGCAGTGCCGTGGACGCTGATCTTCAAAGCTTTCAGGGCTGCATGCAAGCAGCTTTTAGTCAAAGCTTTCAGGGCTGCAGCATCCGATAGTAAAAGCTCCACATGGTTGCATTTTAGAAATTAATCGAAAGCTCTTGCACTAAAATTATTCAGCTTGCTGCGGTTTCTGTTCGCCTGGTACTCCAGATCCAGAAATTGACAATTTTGTACTGAAACCGAGCAAATCGAATGCTGGATTTTGCCGACAACAACAACAACAACAGAAGAAATACAACATACATTAATTTAACTGCCAGATTGCATTTATTCATTGCCTAATTAAACAAACTAAGCCAGTGTTTTTTTATCATTCACAATAATTAATTAGTTAATAGTTAGGGTGTAATTTTCAATACAAGAAGCCTTCTCTCCGCATGCAGATCAATCCAGCTAATCAGAACGCTTGCGCGCCTGCGTCAGTTGCTCCTCCTTGACCAGCAGAGGCGCCAGCTTGCCCACATCGATTTGCAGGGGCGACACATCAGGATCCTGAACGGACGAACTTGCGGCTAGCTTCAGCTGCTTGTCAGCACAACCTGCTGGACCACCCGATCGATTAGCAGCCAGTGCTCCGTGCAGTGACCAGTATCTGCGCATGAAAAGGGTTAAAATTAGCTCAGCTTAGGACAAGGACACTCAAGGAGTACTCACACGACAGCAGAAGCATGTGCTGCAGCAGGGAGAGCATCTGGGAATAGGCGGGCCATTGGCTGAGCAGGATAGTGCAGTTCTGGGCCCGCGACACAGCTCCATTGCAGCCAGGATATTAGACCGCTGCTGGGCCGCTGCTCCACCTGCAGCACAACCTGCTGGACCACCCGATCAATCAGCAGCCAGTGCTCCGTGCAGTGACCAGTATCTGTGCATGAAAAGGGTTAAAATTAGTTCAGCTTAGGACAAGGACACTCAAGGAGTACTCACAGGACAGCAGAAGCATGTGCTGCAGCAGGGAGAGCATCTGGGAATAGGCGGGCCAATGGCTGAGCAGGATGGTGCAGTTCTGGGCCCGCGACACAGCTCCAATGCAACCAGGATATTACACCGCTGCTGGGCCGCTGCTGGGCCGCTGCTCCACCTGCAGCACAACCTGCTGGACCACCCGATCGATCAGCAGCCAGTGCTCCGTGCAGTGACCAGTATCTGCGCATGAAAAGGGTTAAAATTAGCTCAGCTTAGGACAAGGACACTCAAGGGGTACTCACAGGATAACAGAAGCATGTGCTGCAGCAGGGAGAGCATGTGGGAATAGGAGGGCCAATGGCTGAGCTGGATGGTGCAGTTCTGGGCCCGCGACACAGCTCCATTGCAGCCAGGATATTAGACCGCTGCTGGGCCGCTGCACCACCTGCAGCACAACCTGCTGGACCACCCGATCGATCAGCAGCCAGTGCTCCGTGCAGTGACCAGTATCTGCGCATGAAAAGGGTTAAAATTAGCTCAGCTTAGGACAAGGACACTCAAGGAGTACTCACAGGACAGCAGAAGCATGTGCTGCAGCAGGGAGAGCATCTGGGAATAGGCGGGTCAATGGCTGAGCAGGATGGTGCAGTTCTGGGCCCGCGACACAGCTACATTGCAGCCAGGATATTAGACCGCTGCTCCACCTGCAGCACAACCTGCTGGACCACCCGATCGATCAGCAGCCAGTGCTCCGTGCAGTGACCAGTATCTACGCATGAAAAGGGTTAAAATTAGCTCAGTTTAGGACAAGGACACTCAAGGAGTACTCACAGGACAGCAGAAGCATGTGCTGCAGCAGGGAGAGCATCTGGGAATAGGCGGGCCAATGGCTGAGCAGGATGGTGCAGTTCTGGGCCCGCGACACAGGTACATTGCAGCCAGGATATTAGACCGCTGCTCCACCTGCAGCACAACCTGCTGGACCACCCGATCGATCAGCAGCCAGTGCTCCGTGCAGTGACCAATATCTGAGCATGGAAAGGGTTAAAATTAGCTCAGCTTAGGACAAGGACACTCAAGGAGTACTCACAGGACAGCAGAAGCATGTGCTGCAGCAGGGAGAGCATCTGGGAATAGGCGGGTCAATGGCTGAGCAGGATGGTGCAGTTCTGGGCCCGCGACACAGCTCCATTGCAGCCAGGATATTAGACCGCTGCTGGGCCGCTGCTCCACCAGCAGCACAACCTGCTGACACTCAAGGATGGTGCAGTTCTGGCCCGCGACACAGCTCCATTGCAGCCAGGATATTAGACCGCTGCTCCACTGCAGCACAACCTGCTGGACCACCCGATCGATCAGCAGCCAGTGCTCCGTGCAGTGACCAATATCTGAGCATGGAAAGGGTTAAAATTAGCTCAGCTTAGGACAAGGACACTCAAGGAGTACTCACAGGACAGCAGAAGCATGTGCTGCAGCAGGGAGAGCATCTGGGAATAGGCGGGTCAATGGCTGAGCAGGATGGTGCAGTTCTGGGCCCGCGACACAGCTCCATTGCAGCCAGGATATTAGACCGCTGCTCCACCTGCAGCACAACCTGCTGGACCACCCGATCGATCAGCAGCCAGTGCTCCGTGCAGTGACCAGTATCTGCGCATGAAAAGGGTTAAAATTAGCTCAGTTTAGGACAAGGACACTCAAGGAGTACTCACAGGACAGCAGAAGCATGTGCTGCAGCAGGGAGAGCATCTGGGAATAGGCGGGCCAATGGCTGAGCAGGATCGTGCAGTTCTGAGCCCGCGACACAGCTCCATTGCAGCCAGGATATTAGACCGCTGTTGGCCGCTGCTCCACCTGCAGCACAACCTGCTGGACCACCCGATCGATCAGCAGCCAGTGCTCCGTGCAGTGACCAGTATCTGCGCATGAAAAGGGTTAAAATTAGCTCAGTTTAGGACAAGGACACTCAAGGAGTACTCACAGGACAGCAGAAGCATGTGCTGCAGCAGGGAGAGCATCTGGGAATAGGCGGGCCAATGGCTGAGCAGGATGGTGCAGTTCTGGGCCCACGACACAGCTCCATTGCAGCCAGGATATTAGACCGCTGCTGGGCCGCTGCTCCACCTGCAGCACAACCTGCTGGACCACCCGATCGATCAGCAGCCAGTGCTCCGTGCAGTGACCAGTATCTACGCATGAAAAAGGTTAAAATTAGCTCAGCTTAGGACAAGGACACTAAGGAGTACTCACAGGACAGCAGAAGCATGTGCTGCAACAGGGAGAGCATCTGGGAATAGGCGGGCCAATGGCTGAGCAGGATGGTGCAGTTCTGGGCCCGCGACACAGCTCCATTGCAGCCAGGATATTAGACCGCTGCTCCACCTGCAGCACAACCTGCTGGACCACCCGATCGATCAGCAGCCAGTGCTCCGTGCAGTGACCAGTATCTACGCATGAAAAAGGTTAAAATTAGCTCAGCTTAGGACAAGGACACTAAAGGAGTACTCACAGGACAGCAGAAGCATGTGCTGCAACAGGGAGAGCATCTGGGAATAGGCGGGCCAATGGCTGAGCAGGATGGTGCAGTTCTGGGCCCGCGACACAGCTCCATTGCAGCCAGGATATTAGACCGCTGCTCCACCTGCAGCACAACCTGCTGGACCACCCGATCGATCAGCAGCCAGTGCTCCGTGCAGTGACCAGTATCTGCGCATGAAAAGGGTTAAAATTAGCTCAGTTTAGGACAAGGACACTCAAGGAGTACTCACAGGACAGCAGAAGCATGTGCTGCAGCAGGGAGAGCATCTGGGAATAGGCGGGCCAATGGCTGAGCAGGATCGTGCAGTTCTGAGCCCGCGACACAGCTCCATTGCAGCCAGGATATTAGACCGCTGTTGGCCGCTGCTCCACCTGCAGCACAACCTGCTGGACCACCCGATCGATCAGCAGCCAGTGCTCCGTGCAGTGACCAGTATCTGCGCATGAAAAGGGTTAAAATTAGCTCAGTTTAGGACAAGGACACTCAAGGAGTACTCACAGGACAGCAGAAGCATGTGCTGCAGCAGGGAGAGCATCTGGGAATAGGCGGGCCAATGGCTGAGCAGGATGGTGCAGTTCTGGGCCCGCGACACAGCTCCATTGCAGCCAGGATATTAGACCGCTGCTGGGCCGCTGCACCACCTGCAGCACAACCTGCTGGACCACCCGATCGATCAGCAGCCAGTGCTCCGTGCAGTGACCAGTATCTGCGCATGAAAAGGGTTAAAATTAGCTCAGCTTAGGACAAGGACACTCAAGGAGTACTCACAGGACAGCAGAAGCATGTGCTGCAGCAGGGAGAGCATCTGGGAATAGGCGGGCCAATGGCTGAGCAGGATGGTGCAGTTCTGGGCCCGTGACACAGCTCCATTGCAGCCAGGATATTAGACCGCTGCTGGGCCGCTGCTCCACCTGCAGCACAACCTGCTGGACCACCCAATCGAACAGCAGACAGTGCTCCGTGCAGTGACTAGTATCTGCGCATGAAAAGGGTTAAAATTAGCTCAGCTTAGGACAAGGACACTCAAGGAGTACTCACAGGACAGCAGAAGCATGTGCTGCAGCAGGGAGAGCATCTGGGAATAGGCGGGTCAATGGCTGAGCAGGATGGTGCAGTTCTGGGCCCGCGACACAGCTACATTGCAGCCAGGATATTAGACCGCTGCTCCACCTGCAGCACAACCTGCTGGACCACCCGATCGATCAGCAGCCAGTGCTCCGTGCAGTGACCAGTATCTACGCATGAAAAGGGTTAAAATTAGCTCAGTTTA